CTCATGTACTAGCCCATATGGTCCTGTAGCTTGGTAGCTATGATGCCTGATAGGACTTTCCATGTTGTGGGGAGGCAGGTTATTGGCCAATAGTTGGACGGTGCTAATCCCTTGTGGGGGGCTTTTATGATCAGCACTGTCCTTCCTTGTGTTAGCCAGTGTAGGTGGGAGCTTGCTGCTAGTAGCTGGTTCATCTGTGCTGCTAGGCATTCATGCACTGCTGTTAGTTTCTTTAGCCAGTAGGTGTAGATCATGTCTGTCCAGGTCTTCATGTTCTTGAGCTGCTGTTGGATGTCTGCTACTGTGATGGTGTGGTTCCTGTTCTGGGAGATTGCTGTGGTCTGCTCTCAGGTCCTGCAGCCACTTTGCACTGGTGTTATGTGTCTTTCTCCCATTAAGTTCTTCCAGAACTGTTCAGTTTCTGCTGTTGGTCGCTTTGCTGTTACTGTGTTGTTGCGCTGCAATTGGGAGTACATCTTGGATGGTTCTCTGGAGAATAGGGCATTTATCTTGGCCTCTGCTCCTCTAGTGTGTCTCCTTAGCCTGATAGCCAGTGCTATGAACCTTTGTTTAGCAGTCTCTAGGGCTTCAGATGGAGGCAGCCCTTTGTATTTTTTCAGTACCTAAGTCTTATCCTTAATCTCCACACCATTCTGTAGTTCCACCAGCTGACTAACTTCTCTCCAAGTTGCCTTGATCTTAGCCTCTAGCCTCGTTTTCAAGGGGGGTATGTATTGCTGTTCTTGATCGTGTAGCCAAGCATCTCCAGAATGATAGTGGCTGTAGTGTATACCAGTTCTTTGGTTTGAGTTATGGTGGTAGTAGGGATTGTCGTGAGGGCTCTATTGGCATCTTGTAGCATACTATGTGATGGTACTTCTCCACTGAGCCTTGGTAATTGGTCTTGTGGGTTGACTGTAGCTAGTTTATTCGTGATCTTATTCCTCATATCAGCTGCTGTGCTCTGTAATGGAGGGGGCAGCAGTGACAGCTTCAGGTGTTGGCTGTGCATTCAGTTGTTCTTCCGGGTCTTCTTTAGTCCAGGAAGTGATGTATAGTTGGTCTATCTCAAGTTGTGAGAGCAGCTCCTTGAAATGTTTGATAACTAGCTGTTTCTTAATTAGTGTGGATGTAGGTCTTCTGTCCATCCATAGTTCCCTCATACGTTTCATATATCCCCTTTCATTAGGCCTACTGTTGTAGTAGCATTCCATCAATTCCAGGTTCTCTTATCTTGTCCATGTATGGTTTGTTCCAGTAGCCCACTTATTGTCAGATTGTCCTAGTTCCCAATATCTGGTGCGGACCTTGTTAATCCAGGCGACATATGAGCCAGCACGACTCTCTCATATCCAAGAGAGGACACTCTCATATCCGAGGTAGGCAGGTGAAGCGTTAAAGGGTCTTTGCCCAAGGATCCCTACTGGTAAGGAAGGTACCAGCTGGGATTTGAACCCTGGTCTCCCACGTCAAAGGACAGCACTCTAACCACCACACTATCCAGCTGCTCTCTCTATATATACCCATAAAATACACACACACACACACACATAGATATAGATATTAAAAATGGAGATTGGTATGTGCCAATTTATATAATAGATAAGTTGTATGTTTTTTTGCATCTGTAGGCTCCAAGTTGTCAAGTATAGATTATTGATACTTAATTTTAGTTATTAGTTTTCTGTGACTGAATTCAAAAGAAAATGTTAGGATGGAATGAAGATTTCATATTCAAAAGAGCGTATGTAAGTGCACAGCCTGATTTTTAGAATCCTCCTTCAAAATAAATTGAGAATCAAAAAATTATTGTCAAAGAAGTCATGTTGAGAATAACATAATCTTGAAGAACCTGTTTAATTTTGTTTTATATTTTAGACAATTAACTGAAGAGAACTGTATTGGAACACAAAACCTTAAAAGCATGGAAGCAAAAATGTCTGAAATAGAATTTCTGCTCAAACATTCTCAGCAAAAAAATCAGATGCTTGAAAATAAACTTCAAGAACAAAAAGCACTTCTTGAAGAAAAAAATGCCCTAATAAATGAAAATGAAGATTTAAAAGCACTAATTGCACAACAAAAAGATCACCTTAACTTGTATTGTCAAGAAATTCAAAGTTCAAAAATTGAACTGAAAACTTTAGAAAATGTTATTTCCCAGTTGACCCAAAGCTCATCAAAGAAGGTACAGTGATTTCTCTGATATTTTGGAAGGATTTATTAACTGTGTGCATGTATATGTGTTTTTGTCTATACCTTTGAGTCAGCATTGACTCCTAGCAACTGCCTGGACTAGTCTCTGCAGTTTTCTTGGCAAGATTTTCAGAAGTGGTTTGCTACTGCTTCCTTCCTAGGGCTGAGAGAGAGTGAGTGGCTCAAGGTCATCCAGCTTGTTTTGTTCCTAAGGCAGGACTAGTACTCATGTATTAACTCTAGAGTAGATAAAATGTAAGCTGTTCTCTGTATAAAGGAAAGAGTACTTCTATTCCTGTATAGAAAGGCCAGAAATTTGTGTAACCTTTATAATAGTTATTGTTTTACTTTATGGTGGGATTTACGCATTAACTACCCTGGACTGTAATAGAGGTGAGTAATACATGATTCCAGGTGTTATGGTAACCCAATTATTGTCTTAGCATATTGCATGAACCAGCTGTCACATTAAACTAGTGGTAAATATGTTGTATGAGCTCAGGGTTTATCATGTGGCAGCCTTTGAGATGCCATTTTGAGGATATCCCCAGTCTTAGATAAGATTTATGAGAAGAAATATGGGCTCTTGCTTAAGGAGGTAAGTTTTAAAAGCTCCTCTGAATGAACAGGATAGCTCCATTTATACATGCCTTACTTTGACTAGTACCCCGTCAATTGCTGAGTTGCTAATGAAATATTTAAAATAAACTTTAGATGATTTTTCTAGAATATTATGTCAATAGTATACCATGTAGGTAAAGCATTTACAAACAGGAACTGCTATGTCATTCTTGTTTTTTTCCCCTGATAATGTGCTCTTGGAAGCATAGTGGCTCCTGATAAAGGTAAATATTATAAAGTTTCAACTACAGTCCCTTTTTTGATATACAGTGGAGCAAAAAAGTATTTAGTCAGCCACCAATTGTGCAAGTTCTCCCACTTAA